GTCCTCTAAGTTGCTACTTGGGATCCAGTCACCACTGCTCCCTGGGGAAAAATTCAGAAGAAACAAGTTTATTTTAAATCTGCCATTCATACGGAAAATATTCTCTTGAACGGATGACAACTAATATTTGCTAATTCGCATGTCCTGTATGTCCACTGGGTATCTTAGAAATCACAGTCATCTATTTTTAAATTATATTTTCATGGCCTGAACTTAAATGTTATCGTTTCCTTCTGAGTTGGTTTTTACAGCATTTTTAATCAACAAGGATCTTTTAGCTAAGTTCGTCAATTAGGATCTTAAAGTACAGAGCCAAGAAAATATGAGACTATTTCACACTCCTAATTATCGTGATGCTCTAGATATAGCCAATTTTCATGCATCTAATGAAAGTTGTGTGGTAAATGAAAACTGAGCTTACCTGGTGTATAAGCCCAGATGCTACTCCCTGGTGAACCAACAGGGTAACCCAGATCACTGACGAGTACAACAACAAAGCTGACAGGTGTCTTGCGTTGCCCTCGACTATGCTCATTGCTGATTGGAATTGGTAAGTGACGATCTTGACCAATGGCTGCTGGAGGCAGGGCCTGAGGCTGTTCAGTTGCCATGGTGATCGGACTGGGCGTTGCGGTTGGTCAATGAAGCAAGGCTCAACGAGATGAGAGAGCTGCTCAAAATGAAATTAAAAATATAAAAATCTCAAAATCAATGAGAGAATTACCTATAATGCATGCAATTAATGATTATTTGGTAGGCTTTTGTAATTTTTAAGGTGTTGCATAGTTGCGAGTACAACTATAGGAGAAGGTTTGCAGATACACCAAGTGAAGTGACTGTCTAATAATAATATTTAATAATTGATTCAACCTATATTGCACTCTCTCCACAAATACTGCATCAGACAGTGACTTCCTTTCCCTTTATTCTATCATCAACATTTTCTGAAATATTCTAAAACCTGATTGTGATAACATGACCAATGTGAAATCAGATGGCTTTTTGGAAGGAGTGTTACTTTTTACTGTGAGCAATGGGGGGATTAGGGGAGTAGATGTAACTTGTAACATGTTCACTTGCACATTGGTCTTAATTTACACTTGACACAATATTATGCAAAGAGCAAAAAACAAGTCTGAATTAGTTTGTCTAAAAGTAATACACAAAGTATGTTTGTTTGGAAAAATGTGATAGAGTCAGTTTCTTTTCAAGGCAATTCATTCAATACATGAACATTTTGTTTTGGGGTTGACAATTTTGAATCAAAAAGAGTATAAAGAGTATACAACTGTAACATATTATTTCACCAAATATGAAAAGACCAGTTAACCTATCTCAGGTCCAAGATACAAACTCAAGTGTAGAGTAAACATATCAGCAAACAAATAAGATAATGAACTGTACATGTCGGTTGCATCCAGCACTTGTCCCCAAAACTCCCCAAGCTCTATATATAAACCATGTCACGTTACTTGATGATGATTCTGTGTTTGCCAGTGCCATCTCTCTGGAATCTACCCCTCAAAAGCTACCACTGTTCACACTCTTTGCATTTTTAATTAAAAACACTTCTTTATTATTATCAATAGTTTGTCAAGTCAGAACTTTCATTACAACAAGAATTCAATGGGGCGCTGTTCAAAACGTATATCATGGCTACATTTGACAACTTGCTATGCGCTTTCCAAGGGACATTACAATAAACAGCCACTCCCGAAAAAAAATGGTGAAAAAATACGCACACAATCGCGGGGGAAAAAAGACTTTGTGGTCTTCCAGCTAATCATGGTATAAAAAATATGGCTGTGCTTTTCTCCAGATGCCCAATTTTCAGTCGGAGGCGACTGGCCAACACTGGCCTTTAAAAAGAAAGCGAAAATTATATATTTGCAGTGAGCCCCAAACATTGCCTCAAAATTTGCTTCAAGTTTTGTGGGCCATGAACTTGAAGGTTTTTAAAAAAAACACAAAAGTTTGAAGCAGTGAACAGGACTGCAAGTTCATATATCTGTGTAAGTTGGATGAATTATTAAATGCCCTAAAATTGCTCTTTTTTGCAATGCAGCATAGGAATCAGTTTTCAAAATGGCGATGGGTTTCCGGACTATACTTTTGGAGTGATCATCTTTGGATGGATATTCCTTACAAAAGTCACCAAATTAACCAAAAATGATTGAACAGAATATAAAAGATGATGAAATCTATTACTGGGATCTATAGCCATTTATGGTCTGCAACCTGATGGCGTGCACATGTACATGTATGCAAGTATTCCAAATCAACTTATCTCAGGTCCAAGGTACAAACTGAAGTGTAGAGTAAACATTTCAGCAAAAATAAAACAGACAAGGAACTGTACAATGTACATGTCTCAGATTTGGGATCCACCCCCTCTAAAGGTTATGACTATTTACACTTGTTGCATCATAAAAGTGGAAAACCTCTAACAATCTCTTACAAATTGTCTTTCAGTGAATTGACTACTCAATTCTTTCAAGGATAACTGAGATCACACCTGGGAATAAACAGGAATCGAACCAGGGGCCAATAGAAAAGAAAACAAGCAGAAGGATATGAACCAAAGACTCCTCAATTCCTTCAATGATAACTGAGGTCACACCTAAGAATAAACAGGAATGGAATCACGGGTCCAAAAGAAATGAAATGGAATAGAATGGATGCTAAGGTGTATGCACAGGCGTAGCCAGGAATTTGGAACCGGGTTGGGGGTGGGGGGGGGAGGGGGCAAGTATGACCAGCCTTTACAAACCGGGACCTTTCTTATCATCTGTATATGTGAACGCCCTTATGGCGTGGTGCCCAGCATGCGCGGATCCAGATGGGGGCATACCTGGCCCGTGCCCCCCCCCCCTTCCCCCCTTTTCGCAACTTTTTTTTTTTTTTTTTTTTAACGAGTCATCTTAGGGCGGGTGGGCATTAAATCCATCCCTTTGAGAACATGGCTATCTTTTTCGTTTTTTGAGTCATCATTATGGTGGGCGGACGGGCGGTCATCAAATCAATCTCTTTGACCATAACTATCATACAGTTGTGGTTATTTACCGGTACATGCTAATTAATGCACGCTGAACGTGAACTGTGTGTATGGATTGATTCCTATTGCCCCACACGCTATGTATGAACTCCTGCGCTGCACACACAACGCGCTTCCTTTGAATTGTATGTAATGTATACACTAACCTGACTCGGTGGCAGCGCGCCCCGCCGCGTGCCCACTAGTTTCGTGGGCCAAATACCATGAAATAGCCTTCTTCTTGCAAATTGCATAAAGTAACCATACAGGAGTTCACAACCTCACATGCAAAATTGATCGCCTAATATTCGTGCCAGGGAGAATTGATCCAAAACTTACGGGATCAAACTTTTTATGACAATTGAGATGGTTTTGAAATCGGTAAGTTTTATTTCTTCTTTTTGTTTGCAAAGACTATTCGTAAGGTAATACTCAGCAGTCTTATAAGTTATACAACATTTTTCAGAGGAATTGGGACTGAGAAATTTTCGGGGCCGGTTGAGTTGCTCAGCCATAGTGGGGCGCGAACGCGCAAGCAAATTTCTAGGTAGAAATGTATGTTTTGACAGTAAACGTTAATTTTTTTGGCTCTCTCGCTATGCTACCTCGCAAAATATCACATGTTCATTTTTTTCACCTGGTGGCTGTCATCAGCACCTTCTAATTTTCAACTAACATCAACAGTGACTTTAAATTCTATATTTGATAGAAAAAAATTAGTGTTATTAAAATTAAAAAATAAACATTGTGAATTTGCTCTTAATGGCTTAAAATACTCATAATGTAGGAGAGAACATCTAAAATTGTAGAGCTTCCAGCGCCCTCAACCCCGCCCGAAAGGGATTTCGCGCTTTGGTCTGGTTATGTGTGCAAAGCGCACACAGTTTTTGTGCCCCCCCCCCCCCCCTTTTAAAAATCCTGGAGTGCTCCTGCCCGGGGCCAGGAAAATGTTTGGATTTTTGGATTCGTGGTGTCGTTGATGCAATGTCTGGTGTTTATAAATGTATTGTAAGACAATAGCAAGACTTTTTTTAAGTCGTTAGGACTACGCATTTAAGTGGTGGATAACAGTGTTAGCCAGACAATAATAAATGGAAGGGGGGGGGGGGGTTGGGGAAATGGCCCCTTGCCCCCCCCCCCCCCCCCCCCCCGGCTACACCACTGGGTGTATGCAATTTAAAATTAACAAAGTGCATCGATCATGAAGGCCTACACCAAGATAGTATGCATACATTTATCTAATAAGGTTCAAAACTCAAGTGTCTAGTGAATATGTACACAGATAACAGATATGTACGTGTATGACATGTATAAAGCAAAAACCAAAAATCCCATGCTCTATATATAAACCGTGTCACGTGACTCAATGACGATGCTGTGTTTGTCCAGCGCCATCTTTACCAGATCCGCCTCATCAAAAGCCTAAACAGTTTGTGCTCTTTAAATCAAAGTTGAAAACTTCGGGCAGTTTCTCTCTGTACAAGTGGCAAATCTACATCTTTAAGTGAATTTCTCGCAAGGAAGATAACAGAGGTAAAAATAAAAATTAATATTGTCTGTAAATTATTCCTAATAAAGTTCAAGGCTACCTTACAAGCGTAGGAATCTCAATTGTCTTTAGACTACAAGATGTGAAGTGTACATAGTACGTAGAAGTGTATGTAGTAATGCTCCAACAAAACTTAATCAGTATTGAGTGGGCAAACACAGTGATCTAAAATACATTGTTGTCCATTAAAGACTTTCAATCATTTCAGAAGATCATTAAAGATGTGTTGTTAGAGCTCTTCCAATTGAGTGAGGAATTTTAAAGGAGGTAGCAATATTTCACCTTTGTTTAAAAGTGGAACTTTTGTCTGGACATAAAAAAGCATTAAAAAAACCCAGAAATATTATTTTGTTCCTCAGTAAAACTCACATGGACTTTGCAGCATTTAAGTATAAAATTTATAAAAGAAGTTACATCTTTGTATTAACCATTCCATTTTCATTTTGAATACTATTTGCATACAGATAATAATGGCTTCAGCTCCAAATATCTTAAGTTCCCTCGAGTGTGATATCTGCCATGAAAAATATAAACAGCCCAAGATACTGGATTGCCACCACAGTTTTTGTGAGGCATGTCTGGAGCAATACTACACTACTAGCTATGGAGGTCAGGCAAAAGTTCCTTGCCCCTTGTGTCGACAGAAGACGGTACTTCCAAAGACACGCATTCAAGGACTGAAAACAAATTTCCATTTGATGGGAATAGTTGATGAGGTCTCACGCCAAGAAAAGCTGGCTTCTTCAGTGAAACAAACATCAAAAGATCAGTACAAATGCCAGAAACACGAGGGTGAAGTTAAATGGTTTTATTGTGAGACATGTGAAGAGTTAATCTGCCGAGCTTGTACTGCAGTAGACCACTGTAAACCAAAACATCACTACATTGACTCCAGATTGGCTTCTAGCAAATACAAACAGTCACTGAAAGATATGTGTCAAGATTTCACTACGGACATCAAACGACTTGAACAAGTTTTGGTCACTTTATCACGAGCTAAGCAGAAGCTTACACAGAACGTCACAAAGACTGTGAAAGCTGTGCAAGACAAAGCGGATAAAATGAGGGCTGAGATAACATCTCAAGAGACAAAGATGATTGAAGAGATCAAACAACTCCAGCAGGATCGCGATAGAACATATGATGAGAACCAGTCAGCACTTACAATGATGCTACAAACTGTACACCATTCACTGGGAACATCTCAGGATTTCATTAGCACTGCATCTGACAGTGATTTTTTGTCCCTATACCCCGTCATCAGCAAAGACTTGAAATCACTCAGGAATCGAAATCCTCCCAAGATTGATCTCAATCTTTCACACCTGAGCTTCATCCCGGGTCAGAGGATTGGTGACATCAATCTGGGCAAGCTGGTAGTCAAAAGCAAGTGGAAGATGTGCCGTGCATTAGGGGAAGAGGGAAGTGGTCTAGAGCAGTTCAATGTGGCTCGAGGTATCACCGCTACTCAACCAGGTGAGATTGCTGTGGCAGACTATTGGAACAACCAAGTGGTCATCTGCAGCAATGAGGGACAACATAAGGGAACCATTCCCTTCAAATCACGTAAGTTTCTTTCATGTACATGTTCATCAACACAAATTTTACTTTTATATTTGCGGCGACGTTACAAGCAAGTTTGACAATTGCAAATGAAAACCAATAAAAAACTGACCTAAAGAATTGAGGTGCTGGCTGTATACCTCCAACAAATTTGATTTTGTTCTCCAGACACATGTTCAAATGTTAGGGTTTTTTTACATGTAGGCCTTATTTTAAAAAAATCTACACAAGGACACATACAAACAAATAAAACAAAACTACAACTGAACTTCTATTTATTTCATTACTAATTTCAGGGTTTTGGGGAAGAAAAACTATTTCTATATTGGGGGTCTGTAACATTTAGAAAAGAACAATCTGCCTGATGAGTAGAATTTTCTAGGTATGATCACTTCCCCACATGGACACACTGCTCGACGACATGACCTTCAATCATACTTTTATACTGATGACATTCTGTTCAAAAACCAACACTACATGTAACTACCTAAACGCACTTAATACTCATCTTGCCTACAGGATGTTCAGAACTAGATGGCTGCAAGTTTCCTGAAATTCAACCCCAACAAAACCAAATTATATGTGGCAAAATCAAAGATAAGGCCAAAAAAAATAAGTCGGTCTCTGGTCAGCGCGCGTGTCGATTTTAATCATGAACGTCAATCTTTTTCTTTCCCTAAATGTTCCGCGGTAGCTTCAACAGCGCCATCTATTGCCGCACCTCCTGATTTTTTTTTACCAAAGAGCACCAAGGAATGGGAAATTGCACCAAGGCAAATGATCGAAAGCACCAAGGCAAATTATGGAGGACACCAATGTACATGAGGACACCAAAAAAGCAAAATAATACCCCACCTTGTCTGTACAATCCAAGCTTGAAGAAGAAAAAAAAAGAAAAAAAAAAGAAAAGAAAAACCGCGACACCGCGTCAATTCCGGAACTTTGGTCTGACCAGAGATCGAATATATTTTTGTTTGGCCTAACTTAACTTTAACTAAAATATGCTATACTTCTACGTGTACAAATGATTCAGAGAATCCATCTCAACTGAAACCATCTTCACTCCTAATTCTTACATAAAGAAACCTTGCAATTAATTCTGGGTCTAACAGTGAAACATTCCTCAATCAACTGTCTTCAACTGAACAATAATTCATCAATCAGAAACATGATCTCACAGTTGTCTAAAACTCCATGTTAAAAAAAAACCACTTATATAAAACAGTAAAGTTCCACAGAGTAACTAAATGCAGTGAAGGAACTTTATACCTTAAACTTAAAAATGAACTTCTTTACAAACTTGAGGAATCAAATGTCTCAGAACTGAACAACTTATTTCCTCAAGTCTCAACAGTCTTAAGTATTAAAACAACTTAACACAATACAAAGGCTTAAATCAAAGGAAATCTGTCAATGTTAATTATCAAAAATAAAAGTTAAAATCAACATACCTATAAGAAATAATGGAGATCGAGTTGTAAGCCAAAAATACAGAATACATGAGGGCAACTTTATTGCATATGTTGGCAGGGTCACTGCTTGTAAGAACAATGAAGCCAACTTCCTGTCCCTTGCTGATGTGGGAACTCTTGGGTCAGTCCATTATTTTAAAAGGTAAAGCAAAGTCTGGACCATCGCATTAAAAAAGGGGAGGGGGAAAATTGAAAAAGGGGGTGACCAATTTCCACGGCCTTTACACTCACCCCTGCAAAAAGAAATGTTGTCTCTAACATTTACAAACTTGAAATTACTTCCGATCCTATTTATCAGAGAAACAGTTCATATTGTGTCCATTTCAAGAGCAAAACACGCGTCAGTTACTAGGCGGTTTCTCCTCAGCAAAGTAAATTGATGGGATGCAGGGCGGATGGAGTAGCTAATTCCACTTCCCTTCATCTCCAGATCTCATGTCCAAGATCGTCAGCGAAATGGACTGGAACTTATGCAGGGGCGGATCCAGGAATTTTTGCGGGGGGGGGGTTTCATCAGCAAAAAATTCTGAAAATGTACACAGGTTTTTTTCTCCGGACACTTGGCCTCCGTAAATAGGGGGCGCTGTTCAAATTCGATGATTATTAACACTAAATTACAGAATGGTGTACCGTATTTGGAACAGGCAAACATTAGGCCAAAAAAAAAAAATTCGGTCTCTGGTCAGACCAAAGTTCCGGAATTGACGCGGCCACGCGGCTTTTTTTTTTTTTCTTCAAGCTCGGATTGTACAGACAAGGTGGGTACTATTTTGCTTTTTTGGTGTCCTCATGCATACATTGGTGTCCTCCATGATTTGCCTTGGTGCTTTCGATCATTTGCCTTGGTGCAATTTCCCATTCCTTGGTGCTCTTTGGTAAAAAAAAAAAGAGGAGGTGCGGAAATAGAGGGCGCTGTTGGAGCTACCGCGGAACATTTTTGAAAAAAAAAAAAGATTGACGCGCATGATTAAAATCGACGCGCGCGCTGACCAGAGACCGACTTATTTTTTTTTTTTGCCTTATACCAGTATAACTTTTTTGGGTGTCACAGCTGGGGGGGGGGGGGTTGACTTATTTTTTTGGAATTTGTATGGACATTTTTGAGGGGGGACAGAGCTGGGGGGGGGGGTTGACCCAACCCCCCCCCCCCCCCCTCTGGATCCGTGCCTGTTGATGACAAGCACAGCAAAGTCTTCGTCTATAGGCTACGTATCTTGTCTAAAGCTTGTGGTGGGTTGACCTCACATGGATGCTACTGGACGACAATCTCTTCCCCCTAGTGTGCACTGCATAGGGGGTTTCTTTTAGGGCCTCGTTACTGGCTGTTGGCTCATCAAAGGGTAACACTCTAGGAACCCAACCTGGCCGAGGTGGCGGGTGGGTCCACATCCACCTGGGTGGCATCATAGGTGGGAATTGCATGTACCCCGGTTGGTCAACAGTGTTGTTCATTCCATACATCGGCATTCCCCAGGGAGGTGCAGCAAAACTTTGGACAGCTGTGACTCAAGGATCCATCTGTTGGTATACCGGTTCTCCGAGTCAGGCATATTCGAACAGTCTTCGAGGCCTGTCTGCATGGTCTGCCTTCCTCAGGAGGTGCTGCTGGCTCAAGCTGTGGCTGCGGTTGCTGCTCAGGAGGTGCTGCTGGCTCAAGCCGCGGATGTGGCTGTGGCTGCTGCTCGGCTTGTTCATGGTGATGAGGGGGGACTGGTACATCTGGAGCTGTCATCTGGGAACCAGGCTCTGCTAAACTGCTAGCATGGGCCAAATCATCATTATCAGCTTCTTCGTTGATCTCCAGCGGTTCAGCACCGGGAACGCCAACTGCAGTTGGGTCATTGTCCTGGTCTGTGGTTACCCCATCATCTCCTGGCTCGATCAGTGGTGGTGAATCACAAGAAGGACCAGCCGATGGTGCGTTCAGTGTGAATGAAATAGCACCTGGATTTAAAATCGTCTTACTGACCTGGTTACATGGTTTGTCATTTCTCGTGTCGAAGGGGATGCAGATCACAACAGGGTCTTCATCATCAGAGCTGTCATCGCTCGCTGAAGACTGAAATTTTGATGCAGGTTGTCTGCGGGTCCGTCTCTGCATACTCCTCTGCGGTTGGGGCTGACTTGGCTTTGGGTCAACATCAGCTCGTATGCTATCACATGGAAGAAGGAGATTTCGGTGCAGAACTCGATGCTTAGACTTGCCGTTCACAGGTTTCACTTCATTGACGGGTAAGTCTTCTCCCTTCCTTTGGACGACAACATACACCTGGTCTTCCCAGTACGAACGGACTTTTCCTGGACCTGGGTGTCTTCTGACGTTACGGACGAGTACTCGGGCTCCAGGTTGAAGAACAGAACTGCGAGCCATCTGATCATGGTATTTTCTGCCTCTTTCGGTAGACTTGGATGCATGCTGAGCTGCAATGGAGTAGGCCTCTTCCATTTGCACCTTCCATTTCCTCACAAAGTGGTTGTGGTCTTCAGCACCTGGTGGTCCAAGTTGTGGGTTCAACCCAAAGGCAGTGTCAACTGGTAAACGGGGAGATCGTGCATACAGGAGGAAAAATGGGGAGAACCCTGTAGCTGCATTTGTTGTGCAATCGTATGCATGAATGGCTTTCTGGAGAGAAATTAGCCTTCTATTCCATGGTAAGGGTCCTCAACATGGCCAGTAGTGTCCTGTTCAGTCTTTCGCACTGTCCATTTCCCTGGGGGTGGTATGGTGTTGTTCTCGACCTTGCCACACCGGTGAGTTGATGAAGGCGTCTGAAAAGTCGGTTCCCAAACTCTTCCCCCTGGTCATGATGAATGCGACGTGGATAGCCAAAGCGAAGGACAAAATCGTGGAAAATTTTGTCAGCTGCAGTTCTGGCAGATTTGTCTTTGGTTGCATATGCCTGGGCGAATCTTGTGAAGTTGTCAACAACCACCAGGATGTATTCAAATCCACCCTTACTCCTCTCGAGATGAACAAAGTCAATGGAGATGACCTCGAATGGTGCCGTGGTGACAATCGTACCCAAGGGTTCTCTGGTGTGTTGTGCAGGCTTTCGGTCTTTGAGGCATGGACACACTTTCATGCAGCAATGTTCAATGTCATGCTGCATAATGGGGCCAGTAAAAACGATCTCTGGCAAGGTCGATGACACGTCTTGCACCAAGATGTCCCATGTTGTCATGGAGCTCTCTGTATGCAACTGGTCGCAGTTTTTCTGGAAGGATCATCTGGGCCCGCATTCCCTTCTTCCTAAAGGGGAGTCCAACTTCAAGGCCGAGATGTTTCCAGTCGCGGAGTAACGCAACCACATCTGGAGGGTCCTTGGCCAGTTCCTTCTGCATTGGGCGTGTTCCTCTCTGGAGGTACCGGATGTGGCCTTTGTCCATCACTTGGCCACTGGTAGTAGGAGTTGACAAATCAGGGTTCACATTGATTGCTGCAGCCCAGGTGACTTCATCCATGTTGACAGCTTAAAGAGCATTGACGGTGGTCCCAATCTCATCCCGGGAGACTTCACTTGTGCATGCTTTGATGTAGCTATCTATGTCAAGGCATTCTGGACAAGGTGTCTGCATCCGCCTTGCTTTTCCCAGGGTGGTAGTATCTGCTGATACAAGTCGTCCAAGGTAGCGTACCTCTGATGTAAGTCGTCCAAGGTAGCGTACCTCACTCTGGAACAGCTCGCACTTGTTTGGTCGTAGCTTGACACCATGGATCTGCATACGCTGCAGCACCTTCTGTAGATGTTCCAGATGATGTTTGAAGTCGTCACTGAAGACCAATACATCATCTAGATATGTCATGGCAATACAGAAATCTTTGAAAGACTGCAGGTGCATTGGTGAGACCAAAGGGTGTTCTGACCCACTCATAAAGCCCCCAAGGAGTGATGAAAGCTG